CGCATCATTTTTAATTTTTAAGGCGTGACAGTTTTGGATTCACAAGATCTATATGTGTAACATCGAGTTGTCCCCCCCATTTATTTACTTACCCCTAGCTATTACTATGTTTTTATATAGATCTGCGGGAAATGTCCGTTTTTTTTACATCAGATCACGTGAAAATTTTAAAAATCATTTTTGCAAAATGTTTGTTTTTCGAAAAAGATTAATAGAACTCTTTCTCGCACAAAGTACTCATGATGTCATTTCACCTTTTAAATTTTCAGATGATATATTTAAATGTCAACAAATTAAATCGATTTGATCAATGTCACAAAAAATAAGCGATTAAAACAATGCATCTATTCGTTCAATCTTAGATTAATGAATCGAATAAAATTTATTGTTCATTTGTTTTATTTGAATAAAAGTCCAAAAATTGAATATTCAAAAATTAATTACAAATAATTGATTTCTAATTAAAATCATTATACAATCATAGTGATAGATAACAAATATATTTCGACAGTCGAAATGCCTAAACGTTAGTCAAAACTATATACATTTCTACCAACAACTCTATTCATAAACAATTGTAAAGGAATTTGCAGATTCGATTTTTAAATTGATGATGACTTAGTTTTTATAATTTTTTTTAAATAAAAATGTTCTTTGCAGAATTTATATTTGCAAAATTGCGTAGACACAAAACTTTGAAAATATTTTTATTATTATTATTATTATTATTATTTACAATCACTATTTATCACATTCCCTTTCAACCACTACCTTCCGTTCCAGATTTTCCCTCCATCTCCTGCCCTTATAATAAACCAAAACCAGACCAAAGCCAGTGATGACAGATAATAAAGCCATTGAAGTGTACAACCACCCGGTACCAATTAAATCTTCAAATGGTTTTGCCAAAATTGACATTAGAGCTGTCGTTATTGATCGACCAAAATTATTGGCTGCTATTACCGAAGCACTTTTCTTGGGAAATGAATCAACTAAATACGTTGATGTAGAACTAAATATTATCATAAGGCTTGCACCACCTACACAAAAAAAAATAAATCAATGAATCATTTAATTAAATAACAATAAATATAATAATAACAATTGACTGTATGTGTAATTCACCTACCTATAAAGAGCATGGAGAGTGGAGCAATCAAATTTATATTATAATTAATAAACCAACCATACATTACATAAGCAATAGGCATCAAAATACCACCTAACAGAGCACTTTTAAGTCTGAGCTCTGGATATTCGTTACTAATACCAGATTCCATATTATTATTACTTTTTTCGGATAAATTTTTTGTCGATTTTGCTAAAACATAATCGGAATATCTACCACCAAAAATGCTACCGAGCATATATCCAATACCAGGTGGCAAAAACACTAGACCAACTTGTGACGTGGAAAGGTTGTAACGTTGTTGAAAAATATTTGGCAACAGTGTACCTACCACATAAATAAGTGAGAATGCTACACTAACGAAAATTACTGTCAATGCTACATTTGGATATCGTAATAACTTTAACGGAGCAATTGGATTAAATCTTTGTGATGTTGGTGAACTGATATTCAATGATTCTTTTAATTTCTCATCATTTCCATTTCCATTTCCATTACCAATATTTTCTTTTTCTTCGATAATTTCTTTAATAATACACGGTGTTGACGGTGGTGGTGATTTTTGATGTCGGAAAGTTTCTGGTAACGCGAAAAAAATAAAAATAAAAATTATGCCACCAATTATTGACAAAAACCAAAATATCCACCTCCAACCAAGATAATCTGTCAAATATCCTCCAAAAATCGGCCCCATTATGGGACCAACTAATGGACCAACATAAAAAAGTCCGTACGCTGTCCCACGTTCTAAATTAAGATGCAAAAAAAAAAAGAAATAAATAAATATATATTCAATAAAAAAATCGCACATGTAAATACACAAACATATTTATTTATTTACCGAATGAATGAAATGTGTCACTTATTGTTGCAACACCGAGACTTTGAACTGAAGAGCCACCACATGCTTGTAAAGCACGCATCACAAGTAACAACCAAATATTACGTGAAATACCACATAATATACTTGCTATTATGTATAATAAGATTGAAGCCAGGTAAACTTTACGTCTCGTTGCATAAGTGTCGGAATATGATGCCCATGCCAATGGCTATAAATATGTACGATATTTAAATTGTAAGGGGATTTTGATAAATATTACAAAGATTAATGATGAAACCTTCGATCTTGGAAACTTACGGCAATTCCCATAAATAAAACGAATGAGGATACTAATTAACAATAGTGAATTCACGAATTAAATTTTATTTACGTACTCGAAAAAAAAAAAGCTGCAGTAATATTAATAGTGAAAATAATACCTAGTGAATTTCCAAGTATTTCCGAAGTATTTAAATCTTTTTGTATACTTACCAATGCTGGAAAAATTATTCTATCAAAACCCGAAATCGAAATCGAAATCGAAATTAATAATATTAGCAAATCATAATATTTTTATCATCATCATTATTAATTTCACCTCGCACACACACACACACACAGAGCTTACGTGCTTGAAAATGGAGCAATTAGACCTGCAGACGAAATAATAAATATAATAAAGCTTTTACGCTTTCTTGACCAATTTTTTGGGTCATCATTATCGTCACTTTTATTTTCACTGATTTGAGGAAAATCTTCCTTAATGAAAACTTTTTCATCATTAGAAGCAAGGAAGATGGAAGTTCGATTGGAAGAGATGCCAGTTTGAATATTTGAAGGTGGAAGAGTTATTTCAGTTGGATCTAACGATATCACCAGCACAACATTATACTGTGATTTATCTTCTTGGGCATTATTATTATTGACGGTATTACCATCGGCGATGGAATTTGATGAACTAGTAATATAACTACTATTATTAGTATTATTATTAATTTCCATTTATTAAATTATAAAAAATAAAGGATTCTTTAGATAAAAAATTCATACAAGTTATATTTATATTGAATATCTTTAATTACAAAATAAAGTGTATATTTATTTTTGGATGATGTGTGTAAAGTTAATTTTATTAAAATCATTGATATGATTAATATTACTTTAATCATTATAACTCTAGCTTTATTGATATAAAAGAGAAAACTTAAAAATAAAACTTAAAAATTTTTATATGATGATTTAGTTTTCATTTCACCATGTGCGAAGAGAAATTAATCTAAATTATGAATGAATGAATGAATTTTTTTGTCGATCAGTTTTCGATCAAAAAAAAATAACCAATGACATTTGGTAACTTTGAAAATGAACCATTTAAATGATAGATTTGAGAATTTAGCATTTTAGTTTTAGTTAGTTGTTGTAGTTATAAAGTTTAATCAATAGTTTGCTAAAACCTAAAATCAAAATTGTATGAATGTTATAATGAGGTTTTAACCAATAGTTTGCCAAGACCTGTGTCTAAAGTAAAAATTGTAGTCTTGTGATATTTATATTTATATAAAATAGATTTATTTTCATTATATATGGTAGACCTTTGTTTCATGATTTTTATTATTAAAATGACCGAAAGTCCAACATCCTCTTCAAATTTATTTCTGAGGGGTGTATGTCATCTAGTACAAATCAGCAGTATCAAAATGGAAAGCGTAAGAGACAAACTGTAGAGAACAAATTTGGAGTTACATGGATATCGTGATACAACTTGTAATTATTGTCCAAAGCATATGTAATCAAGTTATATAAACAAATAAAAAAAAATTGAATTATTTTCAAAGAATTTTATGTAATATAAATTAAAGTGTTAGTCAAATATTGTAAAATTTCGATAATATATATATAACATGCTGAAATTGATTTTTGCCAAAAACTTGTCAGTTAAATTGGGTATAACAAAAGCAAAGTGATAACATTTGTACCACACAAATTATTGTTGATGAATAGAAAAAGAGTAGTTATTTATGAAACAATGATATATATCATTCATATACAAGCCTAAATAGCTATTAAACAGCTGACATTATACCAGTCTTTGATTGACTCCAATGTTCCTTCAAGCTTCTATACACTTTTCTCATTCCCCAACTTTCAATTTTTATTACTGGAGTAGTGGTATCTCTAAAATAAACAGACAATTTATAAATAATTAATGGATTTACTTACATTTAATTATAAATATAATTAAAATTGATTCTGATTCTGATTTGATCATGATTTGATTTATTATAACAACAACACATACGCGGAAAATATTATCAGAGTTCCTCGATTAAATATCATTTGTCCACAGTTTCTTTTAAATTGAATGTCGGTTATTCTGCGGATGTCCTGCGCAATTATTATTAAGAATATTAAAAATTAATAAATAAAATTATTTCAAAATTCAATAATTTTTATAGTATTACCAAGGTATCTTCACTCGAACCACAACATCCACTTATACAATCTACTCTTCTGTTGGTTATCTTCCACTTTTCTATATTTGTTTATAAACATTTGTTAAAAGAATGACTCTTTTAAACCATTTTTAATTGTTATTTCACTTACTGCTTGAACAACATATTGGTGAACATATGAAGAGTGGCCAAGTAGTTCCTTCCCAGATTATTGTCTCTTGTGTTTCACCCATATCTTCTTTTATGATATTCTAAACGTGTTAATTCCAAGTTTTGTTAATTGTTTTATTTCAGTTTTTTTTTTTTTAAAAAAACTTTGTAATATATCTTATTTTGATGTATCACACATATAATCCATTTTTGGTCAATGCCAAGAATAATTTGCAAAATTCTCCAGAAACGGGAAAAATAGTGAGCTATCCCATATATGTATACATAATAAAAATATTTAATATATAGTTATAGGTTTTCATGGATTTTGGTACATGTAAGCTTCTAATAGATTAATCAACTAACTAAATCTTTATTTTCCAAAATAGTATAATAAGTCACATAGTATTAAATGGTGGCGGAAGGATCGTTTATTATTATTGACACAAATTTGGCACAACATTATTAATTAAATTTTGGGATGGGATACAAATTCTAATTTGAAATTCACGCGCGCGTGAATTGAACATCATTATATATATATAATTGGTATATATAGTGTATCACATCTATTCCCGTAACCTTTTTATTGAAAAAATGGAAATATAACACCAAAAAAAACAAACCGTAACTTTGAACTAAGGTATCAAGCACAAGTTTACTATTTACTATATATAAAGTTTTATTTTTTAGTTGATGATCACATCCATATTAGGTAACACAATATTGCGATTTTACTATTTATTGAATTA